TGCTGACCGTCATCCACGAATTTACGTCTCCTATTCTGAAATCCATGCATCTACTCCCTTTTCCAAGCGCTTTGGTGACTGCCTCCCGAAACCGTTCCGGCCTTTTCGTGCTCTCCGGATTGGGTTTACAGAACGGTGGCACGTAAATAATTTGTCCCCAGCAGAGCACCGTAGTTCGGGTCTAGGCACGCGATTGCACGGCGCGTGCGCGGACGCGAGTGCCCAATAGGCGCGTTCCGGAGGCGCGGGCGTTCTCGGCTTGGGGTTGCTGAGCTCATTAAGGGGAAGGATTTAGGAATGGTAGGGCCTGTGAGTGTCCGCAGCTGGGAAACGTTGCAGTTAGTTTTCTCGAGAACCGGCCCTGAGCCCTGTTCTCACACTCACGCACGCCCATGCCCACGCCCCGTGCTCCCGGGTTCGCGAGGTGCAGCCCTCACTGCCTGCGCGACTCGGGGCCGGTGGTGACCACGTGACGTGGTCGCACCGCGGTGTGCAGCCTTGGGGCGGGCTCCGCGTGCTGAGGTCTTGGATGAGGCCTGCAGGCAGCGTCTGCAAAAGGAGCAGAACTTACCTGTAAGTGGGAGGAACTGACTTCTCAAGACACCAAGTCTGCCTTTTCGGGTATCTTAAGTCCCCCCAAGCCCCTCGGACCCCTACATCCTACCAAGGGTTGCCGCACTGGGCCTCCCGGCCTCTCTTTGGGGCATTTGTCACCTCTCTGAGAGTGCTTGAGAGCCTGCGATGGCAAGTGGAGGTGTGGGCAGGCTGGGCTCTAGATCCTAGCTCTCGGCAGGGTGTCCCGTTGCTGCGTTGCCCCGTCCAGGTCTAGGACTTGAGAGCTCGTACACTCTGCTCTCGCTGGTTCGCAGTCCCAGCCGTTCTCACGTTCTCCTCCATAGGTACAGCGAAGGACGTTGTCTTTTCGTTTCTGACCTGTTAGGTTTTAGAGGGCTTGTTTAGATAGAACACTGAAAGGAAACCAGTGGGAAAGCATTTCTGCATTTTTTTAAAAACTAATTTTTTCATAGCTGAGGAGAGGAGCGCCCCCAGCTGGGTCTTCATGCTCGATCCACCTGCAGCACGGACCAGCCCAGGTCGCACGTGGAGAGGTTCCCACATAGAGGGACGCCCTGTCCATCTAGGTCCAGTCGCGGAATCACTGCCACCTTCCGGCCTCCATTTCTGTATTACTGCGGGGGATTTGTTTTCCCCTTGCTGATTATTCTGTATAAGAAAAGGCAGCCTGAGGTGGTAGGGGATGACTGAACTGTCAGAATTTCGGCCTCCCCTTTCACAGTTATCCCTGTTTGACCACAGACAAGTATTTTTCTTGGAGAGGTTTTCGCTATAGGGCGCATGCGCTCGCCGGACAGAGAGAGACAGAGAGACAGAAAGCGAGAAATCACCCCCCAGGGGGGATGGTCACGCCGCAATCCCTTCTCCTCCATTCTCCTCTCGGGATCTTGGGCACGCACGCACACGCGCCCGGCGTGAGTTTAAGCCACCGGGTCCGGGATGCGAACTGCGGTCGACTACGTGGGAGACCAGCGACATAGCCATTACGCTTACTGCTGGTTCCCCACAGACAAGTATTTTTTTAAAAAGGTATTTTATTTAACTTTTTAAAAAAATCATTATTTTAATTTGATCAGAGACAGACAGGGGTAGTGAGAAAGCAAGCTGCCAGGTCTGGAACTCGAACTGCAGTCAACCATGTGGGAGTCCAGCGTCCTTAACCCCGACACTACCTGCCTGCCCTCACTGAAAATCTTTTTATTTTTACGGTTTTGCATAGGGTGTCTGCATTCACCAGAGAGAGAGACAATGAGGGGGAAAGTGAAGAATCACTCCGCAGCGGGGGATAGCCACACTTCAGTCCCTTCTGCATTCTTTTGGGATTTTCAGTATGCGTTCACATGGGCCTGGTGTGACTTTCAAGTCGCTGGGTCTGGGGCTTGAACCGTGGTCGATGGGAATCCAGCGCCTTAACCACCATTTCACATGCTGGCCTTGAAAATCTTATTTTTTAACACGTTTATTTATCCCATGAGTGAGAGAGGCAGCACCACAGCAGGGTCTTGACCCTCAGCTTTAGCCAGCTCCGGCTCGTGGACGGGCGCGTGTCTTGCTATGCCTGGCTGCTCCAGGAAGTCTTCGGACAGGAACTCAACCTTCGCATGTGGGTTGTTTGCACTTCACAGAATATGTCTTACTGCTGTATCACCAGCCCTCCGGAAACTTTAATTTCAGTATTGAGTGCTCCCATTTTCTTTAATGGTGGCATTAAAAAAAAAAAAAAGATCTATTTATTGTCATTTTCAAGTGGCCGGGTCCATGTAGGAATCCAGCCTTAACCACCATGCAACCTTCTGGCCGCAGTAGTGGCTTTTTTTTAAAAAAGATTTTCTATTGTAGGGTACATGTTCTCGCCAGAGAGACTGAGAGACAGAAAGTGAGAAACACTCCCGGGGGGATGGCCACGCTGCAATCCCTTCTCCTCCATTTCCTTTTGGGGATTTTGGGCACGCATGCACGCGTGGCCGGCATGAGTTTTAAGCTGCTGGGTCTGGGACTTGAACTGGGGGCACGTGTGGGATGGGTCTAGTTCTCATAATTTTGGAGTGGGCACAAGGTCAGGAGATTCTTTGTCTAGAAGATTTGGGTCATGAATTATTTCTGAATAAGATTTGCATGTCTAAGGGCAAAGGAATTGGAGACTGGGAAAAGAGAAGAATTGTCAGGAGTCACGCCACAGTCATTGTCCTCTGGGGGACAGGGCCCTGCTCTTTCTACCTGTCCATGGGGGTCTGACTCCTGCCTCACTTGTACTTTAATTCCATTTTTCTTTTCTTCTTTTTTTTATTTAACTTTCTTTCCCTTCTCTCCCTCCCTCCCTTTTTTCTTCCTTCCTTTCTTTCTTTCTCCTCTCTTTTTTTTTCTTTCTTTTTAATTTGACCAAAGAGGAACAGAGCTAGAGAGAGATAGAGAGAGAGAGAGAGAGACCAGCAGTTAGCGTAATGGCTATGTCTCTGGACTCCCACGTAGTTGACCACAGTTCACATTCGCGTCCTCGACCCGATGGCTTAAAACTCACACCGGGCATGTGGGCATGTGTGCCCAAGATCCAGAGAGGAGAATGGAGAAGGGATTGTGGTGTGGCCATACCCCATGGGGGATGATTTCTCGCTTTCTGTCTCTCTGTCTGGTGAGTGCATGCGCCCTATAGCAAGAGAGAGAGAGAGAGAGAAAGCACGCGCAGGCTGCCAGGTCTGGAATTCAAACTGGTCCACCATGTGAGAGACCAGTGCCTTTAATCACCACATTACCTGGTGGCGCCTTTAATTCCATTTTTTTCACGGAACTCTTTGGAGTCCCTTTGCAATGAAATGCCACAAGCTTTCAGGGTCGGGGTGTTCACTAGGAACACCATAGCTGCTGGAACATTTCTGACCAGTGGGAGAAGTGTCAGCCCACTGATGCTGGCACGGAGGGTGGACTGGCTGCAGAACCGAGGGGAACCGGGTGGGGTGAGATGCTGGCCTTCCCACATCCCGAGCAATGAGTCGCTCCAGGACAGCTCTTGTTTTCTGAGGTGGTGAATGCCTAGAAGCATCCAAATAGTCTTCAAATTATTTCAAATGGGCATCCAGTTCTACATCCTTCCTATTTTTATTTTTAATTTTCTTAGATAGAAGTAATGCATGTGCTTAAAATCAGATGAGAGAGAGAAATTAGCATGAAAAACCACTGTCTCCTGCCTCAACTCCCATTCTATCCCCAGATACTACTTTAATCATTTGTTTTTTGTATGTTTTTGGTCAGGTGGAGGCTCCGTCCACATCACTTGACAATAACTTTATACCATTTTTTCTTTTTTTTAGAGAGATTTTTGCTATAGGGCATTTGTACTCACCAACGAGAAAGGGACAGGGAGA